TATATATTATTATATATATTATTATATATATTATCATTTAAATTATTATAAATTATATTTATTATAATTATTATATATATTATCATTATAATATATATATATATAATATATAATTTATATATATATATCATCATTTTTTTATAAAATTAAAAATGCAAATTATTATTAATAATAAGAATATATTTATTGTTTTTTAGGAAGAGAAATTGATAATATATATATTGATATATCATTAATATTTTTCTATCAATCAATAAATTAAATAAATTTTACAAATTTACTAGAATATACAAACCTCTTCATTATTTCAAAATATTCCTTTCTCTGATTTCGGAATTGTAAAGCATGTAAGCATGGACATTGTAAAATGGACATTATATAGCATTTCAATGAATTTCCTTTTTCAGAGGCAAGAATACTCTCCTTCAAATTCGGCATTATTATAAGGGATACCAAAGTACGTGGTAAATTATCTCTTAATATTCGAAAAGTATTAATTAAATCGATTCTGTGCTTTTCTAAAATGGACCATGGAGAAGAAACTGCACATATATTAATACAAAAGTCATTGGCTCCTATCATCAATGAAATGAACTGCAAAACATAAAGAATTTTTATTATTTTAACAATTTTAATATTTTATTACATAATAATTGACATTTTATTTTAAAAAAACATTTTTTTAATTACCTAATTTAATATTAATTTTAAATGTTATTTATTTTTAATTTATATATTTAATAAAAAAAATATCAAGGACTTCCAAGTAACTTCCAAGAAATTTCAATCATTGTTAGAAAAATTGTTGACAAATTATTGTTTGACAAAAATTACAAAAAAAAATTATTAAATGTTACAAATAAATGAATAAATATATATTTCTAATAAAATTGATATTATAACATTTGATTATTATTAAAAAATTTGTTTAAAATCTTAATGCTTTATTTTTTCTCCTGCATTCGCATTAGAAATAATCTAATCTAATTTAACTTATCTTTTTATTCTTAGAATGAATTTATCTTGAATTTAATTCAGGAACGAAATATATTAGATGAAAATAGGAATTTTTCATTCATTTATTTCATAAATATTTATTATATAATTAATTATATATTTATTATATAATTTTAATTTGATTAAATATTTATTATATAATTTATTATATATTTATTATATAATTTCAGAAATTAATATATAGAATATATTTATTAACTATTATATTTATTTAATGGACAGAAACATATTATAATTTATAGAGTAAAATTAAAATACA